ACATCGTCTGAATTTTGACGTGAGCTCGGGTCGTGGAGGTTTTTCTCCACGTAACAGTTACGTGCGGGAGGCAACCAGTAGATAGAAGGAGCAATGTCTGAGCTACGCCGGTGCAAGGGAAGAGCCGCCCATTTTATTGCAAAAGGTTCGGCTCGACCTTTATTGGACAGAGTGGGCTGCACTATCATGTTAAAGGCGGACTGAGCGGACAAATTTCTCCCTCTGATCAACGACTGGCTTCAGATGACAGAACTTTCACGCCAACCTTACAAAGCGTTCTCATGCAGCTGCAACCTCCCTCATACAAAGACACCCTAGCCGTGCAAGCGCTTAAAAGCATGTGCACGATTCACAGCAGCGCGATTTCCTTAGACCACGCCTTTGCGAGCTTGATTCTTCTGTGGAGTAGTTTGTTGTGAACAATTGAAAAAACTGTCTGGCACACCCAGTTCAATTAGCATTTTTAGGCCCTCAGATAAGGCGAACCGGCAATTCTTAACGTCAGACAAGGCAGACTGGGAGCCGTATCTGCAAGTCCAACCAGATGACAGGGCGATCACCTCGTAAGCTCAGCTTAATAATGTATACTGTATACAAATCTGAAGAGATTATTTTTAAGGTTTGTCGGTTTTGACAAATCCAATCAGAACACGTACTGGGTGTGGAGTGACGAGCAGAGCGATCTCGGTATGTTCTTCTCTGATACATTTACTTAGTATTAGGTTGTCCGGAAAGTTCTCAGCGTTTTGAGTGTTTCACTTTAAACGATCATAACTTTCTTAATACTCATCGGATTTAATCGAAATAAGCACCGTTCGAATCAGCACTTTTGCCAATGTGACACCAGTCGATAAATCCCATCAAAGAAAAAAAACTGGGTGGTCGAGAATCTACGAAATCCACGAAGGCTTTTTTGCCTGGTCCTGATTGATGAAGTATTTTCCAGCAAGGAAGTTCTGAAAATGTTTGAAAAGGTGATAGTCGGTTGGTGAAAGGTCTGGAGAATATGGCGGTGAGGTAGAACTTCAACCCCAATTCGTTCAATTTATGGATAGTGATTTGTGAAACGTGTGGGCGGGCGTTGTCATGCAAAAGAATCGGACCCTTTCTGTTGACAAGTGCTGGCTGCAGCTGACGCAATTTTCGGTACATTTCGTCGATTTCTTCACAGTAGGACTCTGCTGTGATGGTTTGGCCTGGTGACAAAAAGTTATAGTGGATCACACCAGCCGATGACCACCACACTGTGACCATAATCTTTTTTCGTGAGGATTCGGCTTTGGAAATTGCCTCGGTGGTTCGTCGGCATCCAACCACTGTCCGGAACGTCTCCTGTTATCATGATCCACTTTTCATCACAGGTGACAATTCGGTCCAAAAACGGGTCGTTTCTGTTGCGCAAAAGCAGTGAAGAAGAAACCTCGAGACGTGCCAATTTCTGCCGGTCACTCAAATTGTGGGGCACCCACTTGTCGAGTTTTTTCACCTTCCCAATGCGTTTCAGACCATCCGCAACAGTGGATTTGCCAACGCCTAGCTTTTCTGCAATCTCTCGAACTGTTTGGGATGGGTCAGCCTCCAAAATCCCTTAAATCCTCGTCAGGTATTGCTTTAGGTCGACCGCTACGAGGTTCATCTTCAAGGCTGAAATCTCCAGAACGAAATTTGTCGAACCATTGTCGCACGGTGCTTTCTCCAACACTATTGACCCCCACCCCCCCCCCCCTTTCCCCCACACCTGGTTACATGTCGAGCTGTCTCGACTGCGGATTGACCAATTTGTAGTTGAAGAAAAATCGTCCGAAGTTGCTCTTTTGACATGCTTCAAAAAGTCTTGGGAAAGGGGGTTTATCAAGCAATGGTGAAACGGCAATTATACCATCAGATAGCGCAAAAATTCTCTTCAGGATGTACTACTGAGACGCAAGGGAGAATGAGTTTTTAATCAGCAATGAATGTACAAAAAATAGTAACACAAAACGCTGAGAACTTTGCCGGACAACCTAATTGCATAGTAGGCGATTATAATTGCTATCGAGCACTCCGCCCCACTATAAATGGGAGATGTTCCACTAGATGAAGGCTGGAAGATGGTGATAAGCCACTTTAAACCACTTTCTCTTCAAATTCACCACTTTTCAACCAGTAAGCGAACGCCGCGCAATGGAAGCTGCACTACTACCTGCTTTGACACCGATAAGTACTAAAGTTTATCTGGCATATGAGTACATAAGGAAAAGACGAAAGAACCGAACATACTACACACATAACGACGTACATGGCACTTTACGAAGGCAAAAGTATTCTGAAGTAAGACAACTACGTGTATACGATACGCACATAAGAACGAACGGAGATCAAGCAGGCAGGTCTGGATGTTGAGGGCTTCGCCCTTAGGAAGAGAGAGATGAGGCCGCGGACCTCGGTCGTTGCTGCTGGTCGTCTCCTCGATCCAGCTGACTGTCGCTCCGCCCTGAAAAGGCATGAGTCATCGAGGGGTACGGTCGACTACACCTCACACCGCTTACAAAACCAAATCCACCACTTTTCAAACCAAATTCACCACTTTTCAAACCAAATTCACCACTTTTCAAATCAAATTCACCACTCTTTTTAGACCGGGCAGTTCACCAACCAGATCACGCCAGACACCACTGCGAGTGACGGTCACGCCTCCTTGTCAGCGCGGACATAGATTTTCAACACATGGCCGACTCCGCCCATTCTTTGAAAGGGTTTGTTGCGAACTTCGAAATTTCATAACTTTTCAACTTTTTAATTTCACATCCACTCTTTGCACAACGAAGATACTCGTACCCGCGATACTCCTTGGCCACGCCCACTTGCTTTTTGCGGAATTTTGATATTTTTTCAAAATTTTTGCATTTTTGGACTGCTCCATGAAGCCCCGCCCACTGTGAGAGGCTCCGCCCACTTTTCAAAAATGGTGCAGATCGGCAGTATAGAGCTTGCCTTGCAAATTAGGGTATTGCTGGTCACTGGGAACAAACTTTTCGTGATTTGTTTGTTCCGAGTGACGGACGAAACCCTGAAAAAAAACCCGAAACCCTAAAGCAATCCAAGGCTCTATACTGCCGATTCGTAGCATTTTTGAAAGTTGGAGCTTCTTCAAAGTGGGCGGAGCCTCTCACAGTGGGCGGGGCTTCATGGAGCAGTCCAAAAATGCAAAAATTTTGAAAAAATATCAAATTCCGCAGGCAAAGCAAGCGGGCGTGGCCAAGGGGCGGAGCCTGAATTGCCGGTGCATAAATGCGCGGGTACGAGTATCTTCGCTGTGCAAAGAGTGGATGTGAAATCAAAAAGTTGAAAAAGTTATGAAATTTCGAAGTTCGCAACAAACCCTTTGAAGAATGGGCGGAGTCGGCCATGTGTCGATGTGTTGAAAATCTATGTCCGCGCTGACAAGTAGGCGTGACCGTCGGGGCGGGGCTCGCAGTGGTGTCTGGCGTGATCTGGTTGGTGAACTGCCCGGTCTAAAAAGAGTGGTGAATTTGGTTTGAAAAGTGGTGAATTTGGTTTGAAAAGTGGTGAATTTGGTTTGAAAAGTGGTGAATTTGTTTGAAAAGCGGTGAATTTGGTTTGAAAAGCTGCCAATTTGGTTTGAAAAAGTGGTGATTTTGGTTCGAAAAATGGTGAATTTGGTTTGAAAAGCTGCCAGTTTGGTTTGAAAAGTTGCCAATTTAGTTTGAGAAGTGGTGAATTTGGTTTGAAAAGCGGTGAATTTGGTTTGAAAAGCTGCCAATTTGGTTTGAAAAGTGGTGATTTTTGGTTTGAAAAGTGGTGAATTTGGTTTGAAGATTGGTGAATTTGGTTTGAAAAGTGGTGAATTTGGTTTGAAAAGCGGTGAATTCAAAGTGAAAATGGTATATATATATAACTTCACTGGTGGTTGACCGAGAAACAATTGATAAGAGCTGATGAGGGGCCTTAGAAGGTGAAAATCATCAAGTTTGTGCCGCCCTGCTCAGCAACAGTAGGACGTGCTTCCGAAAATTGATATACAGGGTGGGTAGGGAAAGAATTTTGCGGCTGAACCGGCAAAAGCAGATGCAAGAGCTGATAGTGGATGAATAACTTCCTTCAATGCCATTTCGGTCTCCTCCGTAGGTACTTCACATCACGGTTGTAACACGCCCTTGCCTATCGAGGAAAAACTAAACTCTCAAATTTCATCATTGAAGATATTTCTATGTTATAGCAGCAGTAAGGCCGAGGTAGTGTGCCGGCAGGCTCTGCTGAACGGAGGCAACAACCGGATCGATTTCTGGATCAAATTCTGCTAGCAGCAGTCGAACCCTCCTTCCCATCTGAGCCAGCAATCGGTTGCTAGATTAACTTGTGAGTGCTGAATGTGCAGTGCAGAAATGCTGGGTGTGTGGTGATTCTATCGTCGGGTCGTTGCGCGGGTAGGCGGAGCGAGGGGCGTGGCGGGCCGCCGCCGCGTACGAGTTTTGTTGTCAAATTGTTTAAGGGTCGACGATCCCTTCAACAATTTGAAAGAGGCACAGCTTGCTGTGGCCGTTGCTCCAATGACAACTCGGGAGTACGGTAATGCAACTCCGGGATTGCCGCCGGCGTGCCGCGCAGCGACGCGGCGCGGCGTGTGCGGCATCGCCTGACTTGCCCCGACGATGGAATCGCCCGGGTGCCAGAAATGCTGTGTTGGACTCTAGTGATCAATGCAAATCACAGCGCGTTTGAAGAGCGACTTTTGACAGAGATGATCTGCGTGGCGCATCCACAAATGTTGCTGTTGCCGAACCGTTTCATCCTTTACCTCTTCAATAAAGTAATCATTTTACGCAAGACCTTTCGTATCGGGACGAACAAAGCTCAGAAATTTTCAGAAAAAATGTAACTTTTAAGTTCAGAGTCATTTTCTACAGCAGTTGTTCAACGTGATTTTCATGATTAGGGCACTGCTGCGCAGTGCAGAGTTAATCACTACTTGATTGAGTCTTCGGAGGCAAAGGCCAGGGATGAAAAGAAAATATTCAGGATCTTTGGTCATGTTTCCATTCGACGCGATTAACCAAAGGAAGGTGCTTTACACGCCTAGACGTGCCGAAATCGACAAAGTTACAGTGCATCCATTAGATCAGACGGTCCAGTTCGTGACTGAGGTTGGTGAGGAGTTACAACGGGCTGCTGCGTTATTCAGGGAGAATGTGGACGAGTTTAAACTCTTCAGGCTTATCACAAACCAGAGCTAATCGTCCTCAACGACACTTTCAAGGATGATCTACACTATCTGATCCAGTACGGTTCAATCCAGAGTATTAGTATGAGTTTTAGGTCGTTGACGACCCACTGCTTGTACTGATGCTTTTGTGTTAATGTTCCAAGACCGTACAGGTTAGGCTCATGGTTCAGATGCCACAACATGGATAGTTGAATACACTTCACCAAATGGCAAATGATGTATTTCTGTACCGAAGGAAGACAAAAAAGGTATGGCAGTCTGTGTCACCTTATTAAGTTAAAACACGTACCTATATACGTAACATATATACTGAATATCCCAAAACGGATCGTAGACTAAAGCGCTCTGAGAAAGGCAGAACGATGTAGTCAGCCTAGGTGAGCCTCCCTCCATTTACTATAGTGGCTGAAGCACAGTTTGCATGCGGCCTATGTTGTTAAATACTCCATCGTCCCAGTGAATATATTCAATGGAGTGGATGTTACTGGCAACTACCGGCTTACGTAGTCTATAGTAATAGGAATTGCGGGACACACGATCCAGATATTGAATGCTAGAGAATTCATCCACTATTCGAGAATATCTTGCGGAAAAATCACTTCATTTCTAGGCAGAATTTCTGTTGAACCCTTATCAGGAGCTGAAGCATTATAATCTGAGTTCGGCATCCGTCCGGCTTCGATATCAAGGCAAGGGACGGTCTCATCCTGCAAGCGTACCTCAGTCTCCCCACCTGAGGTCAGCTTTGGAGACAGTTGTCTTTTAACCGAGAAACGTCAGTCTATGACATTTTTACTGAAATTCTGGATGCCGCGTGAGTCGTTTTCAGGCTGCGCTCCGAAGTGCTCAGGATGTTCCGGCCTCAGATCGCAACTACGCCAACCTTGGATTGCTCCCTGTCGATCCTCAGAAACTTATCGTCTCTGTTCATGGTGGTCCAAATGACAGAGATTCTTATGGATTATCGCTTGAGAATGTATTTCTAACGAACAGAGGACAGGGTTATGCGGTACTTCAGGTAAATTGCACTTTTCACTTTTGCATCTAAGTAACATACAGTTTAATAACCGAAAAACGGCCAAAATTTCATGAGGAGTTTCAGGTAAATTATCGTGGAAGCTATGGCTTCGGCAAACGTTTTGCAAAGGCTGGCAATGGTGAATGGTCCAGAAAGATGCACCTCGACATATTGGACTTCGGTCAACTTCGTTGTGTCCAAAGGGATTGCAAATAAATCTCAGATTGCGATTATGGGTAGGTGTGCAAAGTTGATTTCTCCCCGGTATATTAAAGGACTATTTCCGAGGCAGGGATTGCCGAATGGTTGAGACTACTGCACTCTGAGCCACGAGTTTGACTCATGGGAACTTGTTTGTAAACTTTGCAAAAAGCTGACGATACCAGAATCGGCCCCAAGTTGAGAAAGCTGCCTTATGGAGAGTCTCGACACAATAAGCCTTGTCACTATTAAATTCCCCTATAGCTCGGAAGTAGTGCGCTGAACCCTCCCCCGAATTCTGTGGTTAGCATGCGATATCGAGTGGTGAAGACCTTGACCAAAAGGCTACTTGAATGCAAGACTCTGGGCGTGTAAGGGCCTTACGCGCCAAAATGGTCCGTGGGGTCGCTGAGCTTATCAGACACGGGAGTTATCGAACTCTATGCCTTGGAGAAATGCTCTACGAGAAAGCAAGGGCTCGCGGGGCCATGATCTTGAACAGGCGATCTGAATAGCCATGTTTACAGTGACAAAAGGACTCTGGGAAGGGTGCGGATGCGCGAGCGACTCACGCGAGTGGACAAAGATGTCGTCCTTAACTCGGCTTCAGTTTACAATCAGCGACCTGCAGCCTTTTGTGCACAAAGAAGAGGCCAGGAGTGTCATCTATAAACAACAGCAATGGAGGAGCAACAAATTTGGGTTTTGTACGTGCGTAACAGTTGTCGAATCTTAAAATATCGTGGTACTGCTTGGTGAAGGGCTGAATCCTGCGCACAGGTGACAGCTGTGGAATATATTGGTCTTCATAGATAGGAACATGTACGCTGGGAGAAGGCAGTTGTGCTCTATCAAGGCTTGAGCTAAGTGATAGAAATTGCGGTTGGAGTGTATCAAGGATCAGCGCCGAGCTCGTTGGTCACTCCACACTAGAGTGTCAATTCGCGTTGATACACTCTCTGGAACTAATTTACCGCTACGACATTTGCCCTTCCAGCGGACAACAGAGAAGAACTGCATTACCAAGCGCAAAAACGGCATGAAGTGCTCGCTAAGAATGGCTTTCTGATAACCGTATAGAATATCAAACTCCGAGTATGAAAAAATGGCAGAGTCTAGCTCCAGAAAGTATATTGAACACATTCTAGACCGGCACGTAGAAAACATTGAAATGGTTGAAAACTTTCACTATCAGAAGCGATCTAGCGGCTGATGATAGTGAGCCAGGCGCTACGAGCTCGAGTAAATGTGGCCTAGATGAATGGAAGGGGTCTACTTGTGTCTCCCAACAAACAGCGGTGCGAATTGGGCACCTCAAGTACTGGGTGGGGTGAGACTTGCGATAACGGACCTCACCGGAGTGAGCGCTACGGGATTAGATGCGCTGCATAGAGAGAATTAGCGATGTTTGACAAGAACTGCACTCTTCGCAGCGACACGTGATGGAAGACAGAGGGAAGCACAGGACTTCGGTGCCAAGCTCACCTCTGTTGATTATGAAGAGCAATTTTCTTCGGAAGAGGGTGAGCACCTTTAGCTGGAGCGGTGTACTGTAAGACACCGGCGAAATACTGCAGAGATTACCTAGTATGTCGTGAGGCCTGCCTGCGGCATGACCTCACTTAATTGCTGCGCTAACTGCTGACCTTTCAGTGACTGCTCAGCGAAACGAGACAAATCTAATCAAATCCAGGAACTGCCACGTGAAACTAGTAATTTCTCAATCCTATAAATATTAGGGCAAGAAACCTTTCCTTTGAGAAAAACCTCGTCAGATTTTCCAGAAATTCGTTTGGTCAGGTGTATCACATCACAGTCCTAAACGACAGTTCCAAGCGCAAACGCAATTGCTTATAGGTGAACCTTACCACATCTATTATTTCTGACACTGTCCCCTCTGTTGACCTCTCTGAGCTCGATCATCGCAACTAAAAGGTCATATGAAAGATATTTATATAGCGTGATAATGAGTACAACATCACCCACTCCGTGTTGTCCGGCTGCTCGAGCATGCTTCCAGTTACTACCACAACGGGCCCTGTCAAGACTCTTTCACTCTTCGGCGATGTCTACTGAGGGTCTACGCATGCAGTCACAACACCCATTTTTTCTCAAAACCTCTCACACCCCTCCACAGCTCCTCCTCCTCTTTCTCATCCCTCCTTAAGGTCTCGCCGCATCACTCTCGAGTCCCGCCAGAGTTCTGCGGAAAAGACATCAGGAAAGAAGACCAAAGATACTCATCGAAGCGGGGCTCCCCAGGTTCGAGTGAAAGAGTTTTGCAGAAGAATGGCTAGATACGTAAGCAGTGAAACTCTATACTTTTCGAAATGTTTGGTAGTGTGTCAAGATGCTGCTATCTCTGAGCTTCATCCAATATGTTTTTCGGACAGTATGCTTGAAGTTCTTATGTTGTTGAACAACTTTATTTCAAGCTTTCAGCAAGTAATGAATTCGTCAGGCCTCGAGTCACCATTTTAAACGGTGTAACAACTACAACGAACAATGCATCGAGTCCTCCCATACCAGCGTGCTGAGGGGGACGGATTTTTCGGCGGGGTGACCACGACAGTAAATGACCCTCATCATGACATTGAGACAATCATTTGTCTGGTTTCAAAGGCATTGTTAGGGTTAGTCCATCAGGTGACGTATGTGGATAACAGATCCTGAAAGACACCTCAAAATATCCGTTGCTTTCATAGATGTTTTGGACCTTCTCATCCACATCCATATCTCTGCGTCCCAAGCTTTTCCTTTGTTCTGACCACGTTAGGCACGATATGTGCTTTCATATAAATCGAGTGCGCGCTTCTGGAATGCAACAGTACAGAGGTGGCCAAAAAAGTCACTTCGACCGAGTCACATATCAGCAAAGTTTTTTGCAGCTCAGAGAGAAGATTTTTATACGAGTACCAGGGCGGAAGATACCCAAGATGTTCCTCTATAAGTAGGAGCTGGCCCTCGCCCATCACCTTCATGTACACCAAAATATGAGGTCATCTCCAGTCGCAGCCTGACTGGAGAAGACCTTTGGAATTCATGTCACCTCCAAACAGCTGCGAAACTTCTAGCGTGAGCTCCGACGACGCCACGGTCTAGGACATCATCTTCACCGCAGTCGTCAAGGAGCGGGTTGATGGTATGGACCGGAGGTACCTGGAATAAAGCTAATTTGTCTCCGTGGATCCCGGACGGAGAGTGAGGGCTGGCGTTACATTGGGCAACTCGTGAGGAATATCCTCCCCACATGTCGCCGCCCTTACCTTCTTGGAAACTTTGTACTGCTACAGCATTGGGTGCCACCACGTGGAATCGAAGGGCGTTGGAGAAACTCTCGCCTACTTGGAATGGAAGGGGGCTGAGTACCTAAAGAAGATGGAATATCCAAGTAGGTCACCTGACCTGAATCCCCTCAATTACCCGGTTCGGGCGGAAATAGGGTGGTCTACGGTGGCGGAGAAATCGACGATCTCGCTGATCTCAGGCACCACATCGCGGTCACGTGCCAGAATCTCTCGATGGCGCTCGTCCAGAAGGCTGGTGCGGAGTTATATAATAGTATTTAATATGCTCTTCAATATGGTGGTAGAAATGTCCGATTAGAATTTATAAAGTGTACCTTATAGCGCCACGAAAGTCAATGAAGATAAGTGACTTTTTTTTCTGGCTACCCCTGTATATTCGACGAGGCACTTTTCTTAGATACCACAGGTATTCCTTCGTCCTCCACTTATCCGAACTTTTGTATTTAGAAACGGCAAAAGCCGGCACTTCCTGGATCTTCTCTGGTGAAGATATGTTCCTGTCGTGTGAGTTCAGTCTATTCAAGGTCTCCTTTTTCACAGGATCCTCTTCCATTCTTAACCGATAGAGCAGAACCACCGAATATCAATGACGTTCAAGATGTTTGTAAATATGAATTGCTCTTGACTACGATGGCCTTCCTCAATGTGGTTGAAGATTCACTGCTAACAGCAGGCGCTATGCGATTGTCCAATCGGCGAAGCCTCGTTTCTGCTTGAAACTGAGCTGTTGGCAAATGCAGGAAAATATTAGCATTAGCACACTTCAATAAATGTTCCTTTATTTCGTGTACTGAGCGAATCCCATTGTAGAGAATTTCTCAATTCTTCCAAGAAGGGATAAGTCATTTTGCACTGCATCCGCATTATTCACTTTCGTATACAAGGCAACTACATCAAAGCTTGCGTAGAAGGTTGTCCTCTGCACTGGACACTTGTGAAGATAGAGATCGAAGCAGCAATCGTTGACATATGTGTGGCTCGCCCAACGTATTGCAACAGTGTGAAAGAGTTGAATAAGAAAGCAACTTGAGGCCAAATCTGCTGTTTAGTACTGTGCTTGATTCGTTATGGATTCGGTTCAAGTATGATGAACTTTGCATCGTAATATGTGTGGGTGCCGTAACTATGATATTTATGGAATTGAGAGAAATTACTACTAGATGAATTCCATTGAATTTATCTCGTTTCGCTGAGCAATCAGTGGGAAGTCAGCAGTTAAGCAATTAAGTGAGGTCATGCTGCAGGCAGGGCTCAGGAGATACCAGGTGATCTCTGTAGTATTTCTACAGTATCTTACCGTACAACGCTCCAGTTAAAGTCCACCATCCTTCAGGGATAACATGGATATGTGTGACAGAGCGTATTGTAACGGGCTGCTCTCGAACAAAAAATGCAACAAATGCTAGATACGCGGATGTGCGCGGCGCCGCATAGAGGCTTTTTCCCCACACACCCTTGA